AAGAAAGAAAGAAAGAAAGAAAGAAAGAAAGAAAGAAAGAAAGAAAGAAAGAAAGATTCAGTCATGTTAAATTTCATTAATATTAATTGAGAATTTGAACACATATTGAACTCTCCCACTGAAATCAGTGGTTAACTTTACTAAGTATATGACTCTTAATTTTTATTAGTTTAGTTTATTAGCCGGTTTGCTTGCTTAATGTTTGAAGCAGCAGTCTTGTTTCTTTGCTACCTGAGGTAAGAGTTCCACCTCCATCTTCAATCATTCCTGCCCCTCTTCTTCCTTCCCTCCACCCATTTGAAGGCAGGAGATTTTTAATTCAAATTATGAGGATTTTAAAAATTAAATGCTAACATTTATGAATTATTTTCAGCGCTTTTAAGAAGTCTGTTATGCCCAGTTTAAAGAAACAAAATTTATATTGACTAAATTATGTTGACTTAACTGTGTTTTTTTCCCCTAAATATTTCATGTTTTTCCCACTTTCTGTCCTGGTCTAGTAAAAGTGCAAATAAATTCTGTTCAGTTTTCTGCATACCCCTCCAAGAGTTTTTGTGCAATTCCAAGCCTTACTCTTCTGCTGATTATGATTCTGAGGGAATTAAAATTAAACATAGCCAGCTTCAACCAGTGGTTTAAAATGGTTGGAAGATGATACATAAATTGGAGGGAAATAAGCGTGGGAGAAAAACATGATTTCTTCTTGTCTATATCAACTTTCTGCCTTACTCTAGTCACATAAATGTTCCCAACATATTCCATAGGACCCACATGCAACCCTTAATCCAAAACAGGTAGTACATTCATGATTTATTTCACAATCAGAACATTTGAAATAGCACTTTTGTATCTGGAGGTTCAAATATTTTGCATATCCCTACTTGTGGGATATAGCTTTATGTTAAATATGACAGTATAACTTCTAAAATTATATATGTATATAAACATTCTTCAGTTAGATACTTATAAGTGTGATTTATAATTACAGGTTTTAATGTTATAGAGAAAAGATCCCAGCAAAATTAATTACATTTTAGTTATAATTAGCTTATCTATTAATTTCAGTAGTATTTAAGAGTAATAAATTATGGCAGGATTATGGCCTGGCATTCATTTGGCATTTGAATATCTTTCCTACCAATTATGCTGTCCAATATGGCTATTGTTTGAGATCTGTATAGAACACTGAATTTCATATTTAGAGCAATATTGATGTCTTGGGAGAAGAAAGCTTGCTAAGCACTGATTTTTAGAAGCAAACATCAGAAATGGAGACTTCCTGTGAGCACCATGGTAAGTTGACGTCCTGGCAGCAGGTCCGTGTTTATGAGGAGAATCACTGCTGGATGCTGGACCAGCGAAATCTCTCCAGAGGAAGGAGAGATCATTGAGATTATCCATGTGCCTTCAGATATCTGCTCCTCATGAGTAGACTGCAAGAACTACCATTTTGCAGTCAGCTTATGAGTTGAGTGGCTGGGAGTTGGGATTCCTTCAAGCTCACACTCATAACACAGCCTTTTATTGACATAAAGCTTGACTGAGCCTCATTTCTAAATCATTTCTTTTTGGATTTTTTTTCTTTTTTACTATACTGGAAAGATTAAGACCCTTCGGATTGGCAAGATTTTACTGTATTCATCGGAGTTTCCTTCTTGGAGAAACATGGCATAAATTTGTTTTTTAAAGTTTTGGAAATATATGATTTTTTGGATTATATAGCAAAAGAGTGCTTAGAATATGGATTTCAGAAGTTAACAATGGATTAAAAGCTCCAGATGAATTTGGAATTTTAGTTTTGAATTAACTAAAATGATGATTATTTTGACTTTTCTTAAGAAATATGATAAGGGGACCTGGAAGGAGGTCCCCTTCCAGGTCCCTCCACTAGAGGGAGCTACAGAAGAATAAATTGGTTTACAAAGAAAAGAATGGAACAAAGATCCTTAAAAGTTTTTGAATACTGGTCTGCAAAATTACTTGATAAGATAGAGCATGTTATAGAAGAAGAACAATTTATAATGGATAATTTTGAAATTAATTTAAAGGAGGATTTAAATGTAACAAGCAATGACAAGGACATGGAGAAAAATATACTGGTTATACAAATGGAACTGATCGATGATTTATTCCCTAAAGGAGATGTACAATTATTGAACCAGAAAACTGATTTAGATAACTCTTTCTTACTGGATATACAAAAGAGCTCTGTTAAGGTCTTAAAGGATTTTATGAGAAGTGACAAAAGGACAAATTTTACTTATTTGATATACAAAAGAAATCTGTTAACATTCTGAAAGATTCTCGGTTTAAAAAAACAGTTGTGCAGACTCTGGGACTCCTTTTAAGAAATTAGATTCTTAAAAATTTAGGGGAGGAGTACCAGGTCAGCTTGTTTGATCTGGGCTAAAAGAGAAAAGAATATCTAGTTTCCTTTACTGGACTTTTGCTGACAAGGAACAATTGATGAAACTTTTGGATTTTGTTTTTTTTACTTAAGAGATGAGTTGGGGGTGAAGAGAGATTATGTTATATCTAGAGATGGTGATAAGCTGTTAAAATTGTCTTTACTTGCTAGGATGAAGGGGGAAGTTACTTCCTTTCTTCTTTTCTTTTTTTCCCTTTTTCACACTTTTTTCTTTTCTTTTGTATTTTTCTGTTTATATTTTTTGTAGTTTGTTTTGGCATTTATCCCTTTTATTTGTAATTCTTTATATATATATATATTTTTAACAGAAGCAAACATTAGAAGCATGCATCCCTTTAAATATATAGCAATAAACAGGCAAACTATCTGTGCAGTAGAAGGAAATATAAGCCTCCTGGTTGATAATATGTCTGGTAGGCTAGCAAACTGTGTTTAAAATCTCAGTGTCTTAATATAAAATCTAAAAGTACTTTATTCTTATATAGTCCATCTGTTTGTGCTGGTTCCTCCTATTTAATATGCGTCTGTAATACTGTATGAAACAGATGCCATTTAGAGGTTCACAACTTTCACATTTGTTTGAATGCACAAAATATGGAGATTTTATTTTTTTCCTAACATTGTCCATTAGAATCTGATAATGGAATCATCACATTTTTAAAAAAGTCCTCATAGATGCACCTTTCATTATATAGAATGATCTGATAGAATGGCTTATCAGAGCATACCTATAAATGTCTCTACAAGACATTATGCTTTATTTTTCAAGATCATAGATTACGCCTAGTACGTGATAATGCAGTAGAAATAACATGTTCTTTCTGAGGATCTCCTTACGTGCAAACACCAGGCTAGAATGCTAGGGAAAGCAATATCCATAAAGACATTCTGACAAGACTGATAATGTATCATTTGTGTGTGTGGGGGGGGGGGGTTAAAGGAAAGAGTGGTAACTAATTTCTATTAGTAACTTCATTCCCATCAGTGCTGTTCAGCACTTTACTCAGACTTCACTGAGAGAGAGAGAAGACCTCTACTCTCTACAGAGCTGCATGCATTACTTTCTTAACAAGATACCCTATATCAAGTGTTTAAGTCAAAGCTCTGGCTCTAAACAATAGTGTTTATGCACATTCATTTTATGTGCAATATTTTGAAGCACCCTATGGGTTTCAGAGACAAGAAGTAGTTTTACAACAATATCTGTAAAGACATTGAAGATGAAAACAGACATAGTAAAACAAAAAAAGTCTTTCAAAAGATCTCTGAACTCAGAAGGAAGTTGCAACCTTGAATTGGTATGCTAAAGAATGCCAATGGACAGATAGTAACCAGATTCACAGGAGATCAAACTAAGATGGAAGGAGTATACAGAAACACTGTACAGTAGAGACATCAACATCCAAGATACCTTAGAAGATATTCCCTACTTACAAAAAACTCTACTACTAGAAGATGAAATTAGAGCAGCACTCCAGTTATCAAGTTGGAAGGCTACAGGAACTGATGGAATACCCGCAGAAATATGGCAAGCAACAGAAGAATCAGTAAAGTTTTTAACCAAGCTATGCCAGCAAAGAGGTCAATTTATATTCCAGTACCAAAAAAAGGAGACTTAACAGAGTGTGCAAATTATTGTATAGTATTCTTAATTTCACATGCTAGCAAAATAACGCTTAGGATCATCCAGCACAGATTAGAGCCTTACATGGAAAAAGATGCCAGATGTTCGAGCTGGCTTTAGAAAAGGCCAAGGAACATGAGGCATTATGTTGGATAATTGAGAAAGCCAAAGAACACCAAAAAAGAAATCACTACGTGCTTCACTGATTGTGGAAGAACCGTTGATTGTGTTGATCATGTCAAGCTGTGGAATGTGCTCAGAAAAATAGGGATGCCAAAGCATCTCATTGTCCTCATGGGAAACTCATACAGGTAGTCCTCACTTTGTGACTGCCTTGTTCAGCAACTGTTGAGTTACAACCTGCTGAAAAAATAACTATGACCAGTGCCCACATTTATTACTTCTGCAGTGTCCCTCAATCACTTGATCATTATTGCAGTCAATACACATGCTGTGCCTGATCTCCTGTTTTTCTTCTCCCCCCCCCCGCCTTGTAGAGTGGAGAGAGGAAGTGATTACAAGAGAGTAAGGCACATAATAGGGAATACACATTGAAAGCAATGCAGGGGTGCCAGCAGCCCCAAGCCTGCTGTGTTCCCCATTGTGTGTCTGCTTACTCTTTTGCAAACACTTCCTCTCCAATGAATGTAAATACAAACATTAATTCACTTCTTGCTAATTACCCCAACGCCAGGGTGAGCATTCCAAAGGG